GGCAGGCAAACACATCAGCTCTCAATCAGGGTCCACAAGGCCAGACATGAAGGCATCTGCCACACAGTCCCGTGACAAGGGGATACCGCAAGGAAACTCTCTAGCCAAAGACACACAGCGCACCTGTGCTTTTTCAGGGATCCATGTGCCCAAGGCACAAAGATATGACAGCCAGGGCTCCTCATTAAATCCACACGGAAGCCCAGGCCTCTCCCAGAGCTCCGTGACAAGGGAAGGTGGATACCGTCACCTCAGGCAAAGTCCAGGCTCAGGAACTGTCAAAGAAACACGGCTGGACCTACCGGGAGGAGAAGTCCTTAGCTTTCAGAAAGGTTTCCATTCTTTGCCGTTGAACAGGACGGCAGGTGTACACGGACACCACCATTCATCGTCACAGTTCAGGCCCTCAACTCCTGTCCTCCAGGGTATAACACCCAGAACCCGAGCTCTGAGTGGAACCCAGGCCAAACATGAACACCTCTTACTGCATTCACGCTTTTAATTCTGGAGCCATGGAGCACAGTGACCTGCTAAAATGAGCTTCTTCAGCAAAGGGCTGTGATGAGAGAACGATCCTGACACCCCAGCAGATGCTCTGTGAACTAATCCAGGCAGGAGTATACACGGGTACGTGACTCAATCATTGGTTAAGCATACAGTGAGAAATTATGTTCCTCTCTCTCTTAAGTTGGGCTTTGGGGATGGAGACTTAAAAACAGATACATCTTTATGTCAGCCTTTAATAGGTTCACAAGTGTCAAAAGAAGTCAAAGATGGGGATGGAGAGAGAAGCAAGGGGAGGGCATGGAAAAGGAATTAAGCTGTGTCATGGGCAAGCACTGGGAGTGGAGTCACTATGTACTGCAAACAGGTCCTAATAAAAATAAAAATTAAAAGAAGAAACCTGTAGAAACTACAGAATCAAATCTGAACCTTTTTAAAGCCTATCCCTTGCTCTTAGTTCCCCTTTCCACTTAACTGGGGCTCTTGCAAAGATAAAGCGAAAAGATATGCAGATTTTTTACAAATCCAATGAGAAAAGGTTGCTTAGGATCACATCCATCTCCGATGCAGTTCAGAAAGGGCTCAACAATCATGGAGATAAAAACAATACAATTCTGGAAATTCAGTAAGATACCGAGTGAACTCTTCATGACAATGGGGGTCCATCTACAAAACTTCATTGTGCTCTGCAAGCCAGCTGTCTTGTTCAACCAAACAGCGAAACACTGTTTTTAAATTTCGATCATCCTTGAATCTTCATGAGCAGTTAATAATTACCTACATCTCCAGGAACTAAAGCAAATCAAAACCAAGATATTCCAGCTAAGGGTGTGACCACCAAATCTTTTCCAGGGACCATCCAACGGCCAGCACAAAAGGTCTCCAAGGGTCTGGTGCCAAAGAACTACCCTGGGAGATCACATGCCCCAGGTGCTCCTCATGCCAGCTTACACATCCGGAAAGCCCATCTCCTTGGCAGTGTGGGAGAGGGCGGGGGCGGGAGCTCCCAGTGCTCCCCTAGCCCTCCCTATGCATCTGCCATGTCTCCTATACACCTCCTTTGCCCTGAAGTGTTTCATTTTGTTGTGTTTTTTTAAAAAATAGTTATGGTTTTTCAGGCTGGTCTTGAGCTCACTATGGAGCCCAGGCTGGCCTCAAACTCATGCGATCCTCCTGCTTCTGCCTCCAGAATGCTGGCATCACAGGCATGCACCACCACTGTGTTTTTACACGCACTGGTAGGCTCAGCTGTTTAAAGCTGCAGTCATCAATTCAGGTTAAAATCCATGGCATGGTACACCAATACTGATTGCATTGTGTCTATTACCTACTTTCTGGTAATAACTTAAACTTAGCTTATTCATAAGACATTTTCCAGCAACCTGTCCTCCTCAGTTACTTAGCTGACCGCTGAACATTTCCACATTATTTTAACCTGCAGCTGCCACAAACAGGTCCTGAGGACCCAATGCATTTTTAAAAGTGGGGTTTTTGTTTTTTAAAAAAAATTTGTTGGGGGCTGGGGATTTAGCTTAGCAGCATAAGCACCTGCCTTGCAAGCAGGCAGTCGTGAGTTCGATCCCCAGTACCAATAAAAAGGAAAAAGACAAAAAAAAAATTTGTCAACATTGCTTACTCTGTTTCTGAGCCTCATACTGTGAAAGCTTAACCCATTGTGCATGAGAGTCCTGCTCAGTGTCTGCGGCTCTAGAGGGAAGAAAATCATGTTATTTTCCTGGATTTCACCTGCAACCCAGGGCTTATGGTTAACTGAGGAAGATCTGTGTTTCAGAGTGGCTGCTACACACGCCCATATAAGGATGAAACCTTACAGCCGAAGTCCACGGAACGGACAGCCTGTTACACAAGAGCCCAGACAACCTGCAGACAAAGCAAGAGAAAACCAGTGCCATTTGGCCCACAGTGAGGACAGAAAAACTGCTACGCAATGTGACATTTGTAAAATGCCAATTTGTATCAGAGCTGCAAGAAACTTCATCCTACATGGCTTGAAAATTATTTTTGTTTAGCTTACAAATACTTACATAGTATGTTCACAATAAAAATTCAGCACAATTTCTTTATTTTATAAAAAATAAAATGAAATGTATGGGTCCTGAGGATCCGTGAACAGTACATACAAAACTAGCATGGGATGGTCCTTGCTGCGTGTTATAAAATATACGTGGCCACAGTCGGTTGGTGACTGATCTGTTAGTGCTCACTGTATCATTTCCCTTTGTATTCCATGGTCCTGGCTAGGAGAGCCCAGCCTTCCATGAAAATGGACAGGATAATTTACACAAAAAGTATTTCATGATGATTAAAGGCACCCACCTGCTTCACATCCCTTCCTTAAAACCACGGACAGTAAGACTAGAAGGAGAAACAGTCCACTCCTCACTGCGGATAACTAGCTGTGCTGCCGTATTTCTAAGGAAAGAATATCCAGGTTGAATTAACTTAGTGTGAGAACTGATGTAATGTCAAGCTTTAATTAACAGTGGACATATCCAGGGGTGGTCGGCTGGGCGTCTGCTGCATTTCTGTCTTTTCATTATCATCACCAGCAGACACTCGGCCCACTCTTGTGCTCAGGTTGCTAAGATGCTGTGGGACAGAACCTGATCTGCACGTGTGATTAGAAGTAAATACTGAAGAACAAAAGGGCTCAGAAGCTCTTTCTCATTTTGCTCTTCCCAGCCAACGTTCACAGAGTTATTCATCTCAAACCCCTGAAGGGGTTTTTTTTTTTAAATCCTATCTTTAAAAGTTGAGCACAAGGATTTCCGAAGTTATTCATTTTATGAACAGAACATCCCTTTGACGAACGCTTTTAGGAACACTAAAGCAATTATGAAATCACTTATCTTTTCAAACTAAAATTCAAGTTCAGGCAAAGCCAGTGGATACTTTGCATGGAGGTACTGAGTGGAAAGAAAACAAAAGCGTTAATCTACATTCTGATGCTCGGTCTCTAAGCAGATGCACGTCCTGATGTGGAAGGTGAACACACAGGGATTCGGCAGTGAGGCACACTCTCCTGGAGGGGGATCAGAAGAGCCGGGCCTGAACGGGTGAACCACACAAGGCCTCACTAACACCTGGGTGCCCACAGCGCCACGCAAAGGAGCACGAGCCAGATGCTCATGCAATAATGGCCTCTGCCTTTAGATTTTGCCAGAACAACAGATTTCTAACACACAGCTGTTGAACCCAGGTTAGTGCACCATCTAAGAAGTGAGCCTGCAGCCTCAGACTGTCTATGTTTAAATTCTGGTCCTACTGCTAAATAATTCCTAAGCCCCTTGGGCAAGTTCCTAATCTATTTCTTCATGTAGGCATAGAGACAGTAAGTAGCAGGGTTATTGTGAAAATTAGAGGAGATGATGGGTATAAACAGCTTAGCTCTGTGTGTTCTCCAATAATGCTACATCCAAGAAGGCATCGCCTAAGAGGAATGGTAGAGAGGTAAAAATTCTCATAAAAAAATGAGCGAGGAACTCGTGCTACGTTTCCTTGAATCAATGTCAGAATTTCTCCCAGATTTAAGTGTTCCACAATTGAATGAAAAGAAAGATGCCCCATTTCATTACATTCCAGATAAATAATAAATATTTCTTTTGTATGCTTATGTCCCAAAGATTGAATATTGGGAGAAATCTGCTAGGATAAGAACTCTACTTTCTGGTTTCATGAAAAACTCTCTGCAGTTTACAAATCTCTCCTTCGCTCTGAAGAACTGTCTTCCTTCTCTGTTATCTTGCAGAAGCCCTCTGTACCATACGGGAATGCACTCCTCCCGTATTTTCTGCTGCCTACAGAACTCTGGTTCAGGGGAGCCAGGCCTGGTTCCCCCAGTTTCCAACAAATCAAACCACTTAGTGCTGCTTCAGAGTCTACGTACTGGTCTCCTCCATGGTGCCCAACTGTTTGGCTTCCCTGGGCCACACTGAGAGAAGAGCAACTGGCCTGGGCCACATATAAAACATAGAATGTGGTCAATATACATAAGCAATAAAACTTCTCTTATTTGTAAATATTGTTTACTAACATATTAAAAATAAATAGGGCACGCAGACTGAGGGTTGGGCATACCTGCCTGAACTTACAGTTAAACAGAGCAAACCATTGCAACATACCAGATTTTAACAAATCTGCATTGAGTAGTAACAGTTGTTTTTTACTGCAGAGGACAATTTTCCTGTGTCAGTAGGAATTTCTTTGGATTAGAGCAGCACAAGAAGTTTAAACCTGCAGCATACAGGTTTTAAAGCAGGAGTGGGTTCTCTGAACACAGATTTGCCTATCTGTACATCAGCAAGTTCCCCTGAGGACTAAGCACTTTTGGTATATATTAGGTTATATTTATGAAGGTGTGGCATGTTATATATATACTCGGTGTAAGTAGATCTCACACAGAGAGTAGTCCAGTTCTACTGGTAGTACTAACAGTCACTCAGTCACTCAAGCTTGGGTGGTGCCATCTTGCTTACCCCTCAGCACCGATTTGAGGTTGAGCTTGGCCTGGCGGTGCAGGTCCTCCACGCAGGCGGGTCTTGTGCTGGGAAGGAACACATTCTCCTGCTGGTGCCACGGAGCCGTGTAGTGGACTGTCCAGCGACTCTCCTCATCTAAGTTGGAAACCGCTACAGAGAGAAAGAACAAATTCAGATGTCAAATTAAGCTGCACTGGCCCCAAATTTGTTCCATTAAAACAAGGTCTTGGTGTCTCACGTATCCACGGCTGAGGACCAGCAAGAAGACACGGACCAAGATCTGAATGAGACCTAACCTGCGACTCCACGGGTCTCGCCCACCGTGTTCTAGCTGTACGGAGAAGGCTGAGACTGTCTGCCCTCCACGAAGTGTTTTCACAGAATTGGTTGCTTCCCCTCACACTGCCAAATCAGAACAACACGCAACAAACTGAACTCCACCTCCAGAGACCAGTTCTTCAGTGGTACAAAGCCACTGCATCAGTAACAGTAGCCAGTCATGAAACAAAGTTCCTACCAGAAAATCAAGACCAAGTCTTGCCCTTCTATAGCACTATGTTATTTTATTTCTTTATGTTTGAAACTGGGTCTCGCTTTGCAGAGCAGGCTGGCCTTGAACTCACAATGATTCTCCTGCCTCTGCCTTTCCACCACTGGGATCAAAGGAATGGGCCACCACACTCAGTTATAGCATTATTGTAAAACATCACTGTTATAACTATAAACATAAATAAATCTTTTAAGAATCCACATAAACATTCAACTTAATACATGGAATGGTATAATAGACATGGGGATCCCTTTGTGTTATGAAAGTTCTCTAATTTCTTGCCCTTACAGAATATGTCTATAAAAATGTTTTTAAGAAATTACAGTGCAACTCATTTTTTTCAACACAATTCAATTATTTTTCCCAATATGAGAGTTCCAAACATTAGATGGAGAAATAACAGGGCATCCTGAGATTAAGATAAATCCCTAAAATAATTTTCTTTCATTCCCCTAGGGCTTGAGACTTTTATTTCATTTTTCTCCGACAATACTGCCTTAGCCAGAGTATGCCAAAACCCCTCGATGAAACCAGAGCACCCAGATTCATTAGCAATTTTCAAATAGCTTCTGTAGATCTGCCACCTAACGCAGGCATCAGAGAAACTAGACAAAGATAAGAGGAAGCCCCCGCCCCATGCTGGGGTATTTCTTTGAGGCATTAAGGTCAACCCCTGTAAAGTCAGCAGACAAAGGAACCGTGAGTCAGACGCCAGCTCCAACAGACAATTTCCTCCAGGAACACTCTTTGCTGTAACTTAATGTGGCCCTAGCAACAAACTCCTAAGACAGATTGTCAGCATACAGTGAGTGAAAGGCATACGCACACCATTGGATCAATTTGAACATATTTCAAATGACTAAACATAGCATAGCACTCATAGCACAGTTACATTACGGTTATAATGGTTAAATGAACCAGCTTGTCAAGGTGGTGCACACCTATAATCCCAGCTACTTGGGAGGTGGATGCGGAAGGGTTGCAAGTTCAAGACCAGCTTGGGCAATTTAGTGAGACTGTCTCAAAGTGAAATAATAAAAGGGCCGAAGGTGTAGCTCTCAGGCTTTAGTCTGCCTCCTATAAATTAAATGAACTCATTTATGTAAAGCTCTTAGCTCATGAAGTAATTCTTGGGAAGCGAGGCGATGGGAGGGACAGTGGACATTATTCTGAAGGAGCCCCTAAATTCCAAACCATCTCTAAGAAGGTACTATGTTTTTCCAACCTCCCTGTAATCCTATGCTGTAAATTAGCTCTCACCTCAAAAATCACCTTTCCTATTGCTATTAAATTTTAAATTTTATGAATCCTGTGAATCTTTCTCAAAGAATCCCATCCTTTCCATAAACTGCTAAATAGGAAAACAGATATCGAGAACTAGACATCAAGTTAAAAGCAGAAGTGCCCTGTTTTCTGCTTACAGTGTTTGGGGAAAGTAGCACACGAATTACGCACCTAATATTTCATGTAATCTCTGGTGGAATAAATGTTTGGCCTGGTGCGTACAACCATCCACCTCTGAGCATAAGATCACAAGGTCTGGCTTCGTCTCCACATGTTTCAGAGTCTAGCACGGTGCCAAACTGGCCATCGGGCTCCCAAGTGTTCCCAGAGGTCATTAAGACGTTGGTTACAATGTGCTAATGCCCACTTACTTTAAGGATTTATTACCACACCGCAGAGTTGAAAAGCTGAAACTTTCCCCTTTTGCCAATCACAAGGAAACCCAAGCAATGGCACCTGAGTCTGGGTAAGCATCTCACTGCCAGCCCCAGTGCACAGCCACCACCTGGGCGCTCTGAGAGACCAGCTCTCTCTTCCCTGGTCTAATTCGATCTTGCCAGGGCAGATTTTACCAGTCCTTCCAAAGCCAGCCCACAAACAGGAAAGAGGAAGAGTCAGGGTGGAAGGAGAGAGAGGCTACTTTGTCGCTTTTCCAAAGCTGCTCTTACCAATGTCCCCACCCATGCACATGGATCTAGTTTTAGCCACTGATCCAAAAACTAAATGGAAATAGGCCAATAACCACGTGAAAAAAACAAAACACTGTCATTGTGAAAAATTACATTCCCAAGGAATGAAGGAGCACCTGGATTGACCAACTTAAACCCATAGAAAGTACACCATGCAGTCAAGCACAAAAGCCCCGTGCTGCACGACCCGAGCTGGTCTGTCTAGACTGTCTGACCTTGAGCTCCTAAACATGTAACAGACAGTGCCAGAGGCATCCCCCCCAAAAGTGTGGGACTATTCCTAGAGGCTGCCGGGCAGGTGAAAGGATCAAAATCAACGCCCTGTGTATCAAGGGAAATGAGGTAGACCTCAAGGTTCCCCTTCCTTTAAAGGCTTCTTTTGAGAAGTACAAAAGAATGAAGGCACTTAAAATCCCAACCATAAATAAGTAAGACATGCTAAGATCACATAATACTGTCCCACAGTCACAAAAGGCCGAGGCGTCTGAACAGCCTGCGGAGAGCTAACTCACGCCAGTCACGCTGTTTCACTAATTCCTTCGCTCAGAGGGACAGAGGAGCACATACAACACACACACAATAGGTAGACAGAAAACGAACTACTTACTTTTCTTCTTAAAAAGCTTAATGAGAGACTTAATCTTTGCATTTATGAACACCACCATGTCTGCAGCGCTTACATGGGGTTTAGAAATTTAAGTCACATTAACTCTCAGTCCCGCAGGCAGGTGGCAAGTCGCGCTCTTCTGCCCCAGATTCTAACTTTCTCCCTCCGGTCTCCCTTCCGTCCTGCCCGGTCTGCAGGGACTGCTGGGATGCTGAGGGTGAGTTTATTGTCAGGCAGTTACAACCCATTAGCAGCCTTTGAACCTGAAAAACTCCCATGAAACCTAATCTGGTCGGCTGGGGGCAGCCAGTAACAACAGGACAGAAAGAGAAAGCCAGTCGCGAGCGCATTTGCATGACAGCCACTGGAGGCTGCGTGCCCAGCGCTCAGCCGTCTACTTTCCCTGCACAGACCAGCGAGGTTCCTCCTCTCTGGAGTCCGCACAATCAAAGGAGATTTTCCTCCGCGGAATTCCAGATGAAGCAAACTTGCTCCGCGTTTTCAGCAGGTCATTTTGCTGAAGCTGGCGGGTCTGAGAGCCATTCCACACTGATTCTTTGACTCTAGTTAATTCCGGGTGTATGGGATGTAGGACTTGAACTGACACAGGAGAAAAAAAAGAACCAAACTATTGTTTGCTGACCACGCCCCCGGGCCCTGCCTCCCATAGCGAAGAAACATTTGTAAGCAATAAAACTTTAGAGTAGACATTCTAAGGCCTGTGAAGGGTGGCCGGGTGCATTTTTATGCAAATGACAATGCCCAGGCTCCTCACCTGTCTTTGCCAGTGACTGAGAAGAGCACTGTGTGTTCTGAAGTGTGGTCTTCCTAGCACCCAGCAGCCACAATTCTTTAAAACCCTGGACACAACTTCATTCCAAATGAGTAATTAGATGAGGAGCCCTAAATCATTTTAATCTTTATTCTGAATGTACTTCGCACCTAAGTGCCTAGCTTAACAGTTTTACAGCTGCTCCCCAGGTAAACGTCTCAAACCTTTCTGTGGGTTACTCGCTAACTTCAGTCTGCTGTAGTGAGTTGTTTCTTGGCCCATTTGAAACCAATCTCTGAGGCCGGGGTTATAGCTCAGAGACATAAGTGCCTACCTGGCAAGTGCAAGGTCCTGAGTTTGATTTCCAGTGTGTCCCCTCACCCACAAAATATCAGAAAAAAAAAAAAGAGAGAGAAAGAAACCAATCACTGAGAAACAAACACAGAAATGGGGTGCAAGGCAGTACTGGAAAAATATACTCCAGGAGGAATGAAAAAAAGAATATAGATTAGGAAATGTGAAAAGGGACAAAGGGGCAGAACACTCTTCACATGTCACCCTGCTCCACTTCAGGGCAAAGAGTTTTTGAAACAACTTAGACCAAGCTCTTGTTTCATAGCTTCGGGCCAGACTTGTAACTAAATGGAAAAATGTAATAATCCACTAATTCAAAACATTTAGTTTATAACAAAGCTCTTAGTCAAAGAATAAAATTTATAGAAGAGGCTCCCCCTAGGGAAAGCTTTGGAATGATGCCTCCTCAAACATTTCACCCCTTTCAGCTTAGTTTTTAAACAAGAGCAAATAAGAAAACACATACTGCTGTACATATCGTCACAGATTCCCAACTTGTATTCGTTCATCCTTTCTGGAGCTTTGCTTAAAACTCTGGCATGGCAGATGGGAACGGGTAGCACCTGAGCCAGTAAAATCAAATTCTGCAGCTGCCTTAAGTTAGTGAGCAAAGTCCCCCTTGGAAAACAAATTTATGGGCAAATGACCTCACCCTGCTCATTGCATTAGAGTCAGGTACATTCTGGGCAGAAATACACCTGTTGACAGTCCACAAGTTTTTGAGGTTAAGTGTCACCACACACACTTCTAATCGACAACAAATTATTCTTTTCAGACAACAGATCCTGAATATGCTCGGTCCTGTCACTACATAGCTTTTCAGGTACATACTACCATAGTAAGTGAAGACAGACACATGCATTGAGAAGGTAAATTGGATTGGGGCTACAGCTC